CTTTCCTTGATTCCCCCACTGGCTGACCAGTTCTGTGTTTTAGTCCTCACTTGTCTCAGTGCACCATTTGCAGAACGGTAGAGAACCAAACAGGGTAGCCCAGAAGCTAAGAAGCTGTGAATTATTACAGCTGCTGTTATTCTAACTGCTGAAGGCACTGAGAGAATACAAAGTTGTGTTAAGGAACAGCTTTTCCCTTCCTACCTTGCAAACTCAAGGGAAGCTATGAAAGCCCAAATGCTTGAGAATGAAAGTCGATTTGAAACAAGTCAACACTTTGTATTTTTATTCCGAGATACATCACACGCCCAAGCTTTTCCTGCAGAAGGTTTTCTATTAATTGAGCTCTCAGTCCAATAGTGGGCTCTCTGACTCTAGCCTTCACTTGTCTACCATAGCTGTGATGGTTAAAAGCTTCTCCGGTTTGTCACAGAGTTTAATATGCACCCTACATAATTATGCAGGATTCACTGTGCTATCAAACTGCAATTCAAATTAGTTCAGGATTAAAGGCATAGAACAGTACTGCTTCCTTAATTGCATTGTACTGTGCTGATCACATTCAAATACCCATTACTCATTCCCTCTGTGGAGCAATAAGTCAGGGGGATTAATATTCAGGCAGGTGACAGGGCCAAGCCATTAAAAGGCAGTTATGCAGAAAGCATGGCTGGTTTTATTCACGTTAATGAAATCAGTGAAATGAAACTGTAATAGATTTATCAAAGCTCAGATGGATTTGCTGTAAATCAGTTTGATTCAAGCAATCAAACTGGACAATAGAGATAGTTTTCAGCTCTAGCAATGGGTGTCAGAAAGCAGCATGTGAAAAGCACTGATATTCTTCATGTATGGATTTGATATCCACCTCATGCACGGACCTATTCCCAATGCACTGCCGCTAATTTTTTTGTCTTTTGAACTAGGTGCCAGTGGCTGATAAAACATACAGCATATCATCTTAATACAGCACTTACACTGTTTTTATTCCTCATTTTTTTAAGTCCCCCAGAACATCAATTCTTTCCAATGGCTGGTAGGGAAAAAAAAAAAAAAAAAAAAAGGAAAGTTCGATAAGAGCACAAATAAGCATTGCAGTCCCGCCACTGCCCAGAGCAAGAATGCAACTTTGGCCACAGTGACTCCACACAATTACACCAACACGTGTGCAAAGAGAAAAAAAATGGTCAGATCACAATTTCCAAGAGTGATGGGCCAGTGCAGGAGCCCTGAGAAGCTGAAAATTTACTTTTGTTCTGAGTCTAATGAAATAATTTGGTATCCATTAGAGGGCAGCATAAGAACAAAAACTAAGCACAGCAAGCGCGGCATCCCCCGCCGCTAGACAAGCACCTTTGCAGAGGTGAACTTCAGCACGGCAGTAATAGTTCCCAAGTTTAAAGCCAACGCATGGAGAAAAGCTAAGTGCTGGAGAAGATGGCAGCAAATCCTACTGTGAGAGGAAAAGGACACCAGTAACACATATGCCAATTTAGCTTAGGGAGTTTTCTGTCCGTTATTTGCTCTTTCCAAACCTCACTCTTATTTTTAGGGTTAAAGTAGAAATGCTCCTGTGTTGAACTTCATCATTTCATGAGTACTTGTATTTTGCAGACGCTGTTTGTGATGGAATTGCAATGGATTGTGAAACAATGATCAGGTTTTTATTTTCATAAAAAGTGTATCATGTGTGGTAGGTTTGCTAAACTACTCTAATTGGTCTAATTTTTATTTATTAGAAACAAATTGTTTAAGAACTAAAGCCAGTTTTTAATGATCCAAAACAGAAATAAATGTTCTAGTCTATTAGCGTCCTATATGGAATAAATCAATATTAAAGCTAATTAACCCTTTTCAAAGGCATTTTGTCCCAGGTTTTTATTTAATGGTTCAGTGCTGCTTAAAGCATGGATCAAGCTGGATAAGCTCCATTTAAAAAATGGGCCATTTTGAAACAGTTTAGCAGTTCACTCTGACAAATATATTTATCAGGATAAACTTGACTTTTTCAACTGACTATGGTTTCTTCAAAGATCTGACAATAAAATAGAGATTAAGGGCAACAGCCAAATCTGTCTATTTAGTAACATGATAATGTTACAGTAACTGATATCTTTCACTGAACTTTAGAAAAATTAATTTAAAACTATTCAGCTTTTTTACTTTTAAGAATATTCCTAATGGAGATTGGAGGGGGGTGGGAAGGGGTGATCTCTGTATAAATTATTTCATTCTAGGTCATATGTGAAAGGCAAACCTATGCTTTGTCCTTTTTGGAAGAAGCCATGATTTTTTAATAGTGTTCAAACACACAGTGCCAAGAACACACCTTTCAGAACATAAATGACTACTCTGACATATGAAACTCAATGAAAATTATATACATTATTTAAGAAATTTGGCACTCTTTCTCCTTTTGTTATACTAGTAAGTCACTGGATGTATGTTAATATCAAACTATTTTTGCCTTACAAAATAGATGAAATATCTTGTAGATGAATTAAATTCTTCACAGTAACAGAGGAATTAATTTGTAATGTTATGAAATTTTGATTAGCCTGCTGTAAAATCAGGATTGTTTACCACAAGTGTCTGGATTCTGACTCTTACAGTCTTTCCAAACAGATAATGAAATGAACTGGGGGGAGGCAGAGTAATTTATGAAAACATGGTACACCATAATTTTGCCATTTTTCTGCAATAAGGATGGCAAATGATTCATGAGATAAAATGAAATATTTCTTGCTGTCATCTCAATGGATCTAAGATTTACAGCTTCTTAACTTGGAAAGGAAAAACTCCGTATGCATAAAAATGAATTGTAAATCAATTAATGATGGGGATAAAAAAATAAAAAAAATTATATTTAAGCAGTGGTGAGAAAAATCTAACAAGGAACAAATAAAAAAAATGAAGAAGTAACTACGACTATTTAAACTTTGGGAGGAAAGGTATTGTAGATAAGGAACCACTAGCTTAAAAGATGGCACAAAAGTCAGGTTAAAGAACAGTGGTATGATGACTGAATTCATTATTTATATCACTGAGGCAAACAATTTAAAGCAAAATCAGATACACCCAAGTTGTATTTAAGATTAGTAATAATAATATAAAATTAGGCCGTTTTACAGTGTATGGTTAAAACAAATAAAGAAATCTTGTGACAAAAAAAGAAAAAAATCAGCCTCCAATTCAAAATTCTCCTTAACCAGAACAATTATTTTCTAGGTACTAGGACCAAAAGAAAATATACATACATGTATCCTGCACCTGCCAAGTCCTTCATGCAGTGAAGGCAAGCTAATAGCAAATTTAGGAAAAGAAGTGTACCTGGGCTCTAAGGAGCCACTGTACCTAGAAAGGCAAGGATGCTCTGATTAAGGTACAAAACAGCAGATTTGATTGGCTCAGAAGCTGGTGGAACCAGCTGTACCACATGCCATGCTATAATATCCAAAGTGGGTACTATGAAACTCACTCCTATCCCTTTCACTGAAACAGGATCTATTACCTACGACCACAGGACACATACCTTCACCTCTCTAGATTCAAGTAACTGCAGTGTGAATCAGTTAACAGAGAACCCATGGTAGGGTCTGCTAAGCAATACAATTCAATGCCAAATAAGGGGAACAAACATGGTCCTGATAATGTTGCTAAAGCAGCTTTTTACTGAGGTCACATATATCTCATTTTAAGGATAAGGTATTTAACAAAATGTAAAGACATCTTTTGTTCTTCCAGTGGCTCTACAACTTCTATGCACAGACCCGCAAGGCTATCTGGGACATCAGCAAGGCATATATATATATATGACATATATATATATATATATATATATATATATATATATATATCATGCTCTGTGCTTGTATTTCATAAATTAGGTAGCTAATTAGAGACCTAAAATACAAAGTACAGGCACAAAAGACTCATCATTTCTGCCTCCTATACAAAAATTCTCTCATTATGAGGGTGCCAGATCAATTTAAAACTTGTGTTGTTTTCTTCCTCCATACGTCAACTATCATCAGGTGAAATCTGACAGCAGTGATAATGCAATGTTGACAAAGACTGCAAAATATTGATGCTAGTAACATGGTTACCTTTTTTTTTGATGAGCATAAATTTTATACATTTCGAAAAGAAGGAGTGATATTTTGACAAATTTTATGTTAACAAATTTTAAAGTGCTATCAAATTTGATAATCAAAATCCATGAAAAATGTCTTGAACTGCCATGTATTTTTTTTTCCAGGCACTGAACAAACAGTTCATTGTTCCAAGTCTGTCTGGGAGCTATGGCTTTTGGGTATTCTATACAATTTCAAAGAACCTTCCGAAGCTCACGCACGCTTTTGAGCACACATCTACACCACAAATGGAGAATGTACTCCATATACACATGTAAATTAAAACCTATAAAATATCACGGGCATTATAAAATTTGTGTTAAAACTGATAACAGCCTTACTGATTTACTGACAATGAAAATATATAGCATTTTTTTCTGTCAGAGCATTTATCAACACTTGGCAACCCTGCACTAACTTGACATGTAAGATGATCAAAATGGATTATGTAATCTTTCCCATTCATTTCTATTGATTTTACTTATGATAAAATTCATCAGTGTGTCTGGAAACGCTTAGGCTGAAATGCTCTGGTTGACAGAAAAAAAAGGGGGGGGAGGAAAAACAGAATTCAACTGAGTTGTAATAGGATGAATGTAATTTTAGAATAGGATTGCAGAAATACACAAGTCATGCCCTAAAGGCTGCAGCAACAAATTAATACAAATAATTCTGGAGGTCTCATAAAATTACATCTATCTAAGTAGATATTTCACTTTTGAAATAAAATTACAAAATCCCAAGCTAAAAGAATTAACTTGTGTCATTAAAAATGCAGTTTGAGAAAATATTTTCTAACTTTTTAAAAAACTTCAAAGTAATCAAAGTTATTTGTCTGAATGCAAGTAACACCAAAATGCCAGCAAATGGACTATTTTAATCAGTTTTATTGATTCATGCTTTCAGTTCTTGTTCAGTTAAAAACAAGGCACATTAAATACATCCTCTTATTGCTCTATAAATGCATGCAGCTCATTCTGTATATCAAAAGTAATAAATAATGGCGATAAAACACCAAGACAGTTATAAAAATGACAAGCCAGCCTCAAACACAGTATTTAACAGTCCAATCTAGAACAATAACCCAACATAATACATAAAAGTGCCACATAAGAAAACATGCAGTGTGTATAACCCTCTTAGTATTGGGCTTATACCTGATATTCTTTAAAAACACAGTAGGGCTTTTTCACTTCCTGAAAATGGTTGACACAATGCAAAACAGTGCAAACTATAGCATCACTGAATTCAGTACAGTTACATTCATATGCCCCAAATCTTTACAAGTACATAGAGAAGGGAAATAAACCGATGATGACTCTCACAGTATATCTGGTAAAAAGTCATAATGCACTTTTTGTTGCACATATTTTGACCCAGAGCAAACAAGGTCAGAAACTAAGGCAGAATGGGGAGCATGCATTTCATAATAGAAACCCTAAAGTTACACACAGTATAAATTAATTGAAAGCAAGAATTTTGCAAACAGCATGATGAAAATGAGGCAGGCAACCTTGACTTTAACAAGTAATCCAACACTCACTATCGTGACTGTGGTGGGGGCTATTTAAAAGAGTAGCCAACTCTCCAGCACAGATGGGGGTTCCTTCACCCGAATCCCCGTAAAGGCTCTTGAAATAAATCCCTGCAAACCCACCAGTACCCCAACAGAACCCACTAATGTGATGTTTATATGAAAAGAAAAAAATTCTTTTGTGCCTAAGAATGGGTTTTTAAAGGGCTTATCCCCTAGTTCTTTTCCTCTTTTCTTAAATCAGGTAAAGAAGCTGTAAAGGTTTAAGGAAGAATTTAAACAAAAATGCTGGGGTACTTTATTCACAGAAATGGCTTGGTACCAGTTCAGTTCCAGAACGAGTCTCTGGGATTGGTGAAGGAGCGTATGTTTTAGAATGAGCAGATTTTAAGCAAAAGCAGATATGCCTGAAAGAAGAAAAGTGCACTTTTCTTTGTCCTTAAAGGAACTTCATTCATAGCAAAGCGTGCACAAACAAAGCCTGTTCTACAAACACAGATATGCCCAAGCCACTCATGTTTTAAGCCCGGTCCCTACTGTATCGGAATCGAGGAGGATACAAGCCATCATTATCTTGATCTAACTAGAAAAGACAAAAGAGAGAGAGAGAGAGCATAAATGCACAATATCATATCATTTGGAAGTTTGAAAGGATAGCTCCTTTATCTATTTAGTGTCACTGGGTTCTAAACAGTCAAATTTATGGTCTCGATAGGAAAACACTAAAATTGCAAAGCCATGTGCTTCATTTGTTTAAAAAAGAAAGTCAGTGTAAAAAAATTCACATTTCGAAAGAAAAAGTTCACAGTGACACCTGGGAGACCATCATTTGCTCTGCTGTAGGTTTTACTTTAGGATGTAGGAAGAATCTAAATTTCATTTTAATAAAATGAGTTAAGATGCTATCTTATGTCCACGCAGTTTCATGTTTGTTTCAGAGGTGGTAGGTGGGGGTGCAAGGGAGTGAACCTTCCCTGTTTATATTATAACATGAGGCAAAGAGATGTTCTGCAATGTTGACATAAACAGAAACAACAGTACAAAATTCTTTTTCGTCCAGTTTAAAAAACTAAAGCCTCAAATCTGCACAACAAAAACTTGCTGTGAAATTAAGTGTTACATTTCCTAACACATACAGAACCTGATTTACACAAAAAAGTAGGTACTTAACTTTATAAGAGGAAGCACAATTAATAAATGTTAAAGTGACTAGTTAAAATGCCACCAAAATATAGCAAAAGCATCCCAAACTGGCATTTTAAATTCAATGCAATACTTGTTAAATTCAATGCACACTGACTTTTGTTTTGTTTTATATGGATATATGCATGTGTTTTTATTTTTTTTTTAATTTTCACTTTTGGTTGATTAAAAATTTTTTTACTGAAAACAGAAGGGGAAATGCTTTAGGCAACCAAAATGACCTTGGATATTGAAGTGTTCTGCCTTATTTTACTTATCACTATAGTTACTTTATTTCATCTTCTTTTACTATTTTTACCATTTTTATTTGCAAATACCCTTCTCTGTCTCCAAATGATAGGCCAAATTTGACAATACCACATGCTCCAAAATGTAGGATTCAGGGATGGAAAATTATATCATCATATACGTTTACATAAATACATATTTAACCCTTAAATGTATTACTACTTAAAATCGCATAAATTTGGCTTCATCCCATTACATCCAACTTGCCACTTAAATGCTGATTTTCAAGTAAGAAAAAACACGGATCCTCCTGGCAACTGTAATAGTCAAAGAAAAACAGCAGTGACTGGGGAAAAAAATGGAACTATCACTGTAACTCACAGCAAATGTCAACGCTATCCTTATCTCATACCTGCGATTCTGCAAGCTCTCAGAGTTTCTCTTTGAGACTTGCTCCTGAAACCAGATCTAAACTTCTTCCCTCTCCAATTTTGCCAGTCATGCTCTTGTAGTACTGTTTGGATGAGGAAGGCAGACAAGCTGAGGACAAAAAGGGGCTGAGAAATCTTGAGGAACACTATCTCTTCAATAGGTCACTCTTTTTAAGAACAAATGCTATCTACAAACTTAATTTTCCAGCTTATTTTTACAAGTTCTGCCAAAATATTCTGCCTCTACAACTGATTTAGAATAAATGTGTCAAGTCCAACAGGTTACCAAAGGGATGTAAAACATTAAATCGGTGTGCATTGAAAATGAGAAAAAAGATAAAATATACTTTTTAGAAGCTAGGTTGAGTGGCAAATACAAATAAAGCATTGGTAAATAAAGTTGGCAAATACACCAACGTCCTACAGTTTCGGAATGTTGTCCAGTGTTTAAAAAGGCAGCTATCCGTATCCACTGTTTTAGAGTGGTGTAAGTCATCTCTGGTAGTTACACTGTGGTTGGTTTGTTCCTATGTTTGCTGGCTGTGGATTTACCGCTCACACTCACAATCCTCCACAACTACGGTCCACGGGAATCGGAACTCTTCTGTCCAGGTTCTCCTCCGCCGTTTTCATTAGGATAGCAAGCCGGCTTCCAGACACCCTTCCCTTCTGAATAGCGCTCATCAGCTTAAAGAGAAAAGAGGCAACCGATTCAGAAGGCAGGCCAGCATACGCCCTTCTTGGCATGTTAATGGTTACCACTGCAGCAGGCAGGAGTAAGTAATTAAGTGCTCCATCAAAAACCACAGCAACCAAGTACTACAGCTCAAATAAGAGTACAGTTTTTGAACACTTCAGAAAGAGGGGATGAGGCAGATATTTCACCACTGCTTCAAAAATGTCATCTCTCTAGCAAGTCAGACTGCCTTTAAAAGCAAATTTAATGCATCACTTTTTGCCTCTTAATGTGTTCAGGGCATTTTTTTTTAGCAACTTCAAATATTGGATCTTTAATTCCATTTAAAAATCTTAAAAAGCAATCTCAGGAATTGAACAAAGACAAACCATGACCTATATTTAACCACTCTTTTTTAGTTACTGTACTTGACAACTTCAAGTCCCCTAAATCCAAATTCCTTAAAGACTTTTTAAAGTAATTTATATTTAAGTCCTTGAAAATGGACCCAGAGATCTACCTTAAGAATTAAAAGCACTCCACAGCCCAGATTTTAGCTAATTCATTTTTATCCAATGGATAAAATCAGAATTAGTCTTGAAATTACATGCAGTCAGCGGGCAAAGGCCTTTAATCTGGAAAGCACCTTGCAATTATGAGCACAAGGATTTTTTTCTCCCTTTTCAAGTTGATGTGGTTTTAACTATTTGCTTTTCTTGATCTCACTTCCCCAATCTTTTTTTATTTATTTACTTTAAAAAGAACAGTTAGTCATTGACCAGAAATAATAAATATGAAAATTCCCAAACTATGTTTAGGGTTACAGTTCATAGCCTATGGAAATGCATTTCTCAAAAACACTCTTCTGACTAAGAATCAGAGGCTTCTGCCAATGGGCCAGTTCAGAATTTCATGACTTTATGAAAAGTTGTTCCACAGGGCACCGCTTACTAGGGACGGGCTCCTACAGTGCAGAAACGCCACTAGAGCCCAAGCCTAGACAGAACGTCCTGGTGCCATGCAACATCCACAGTGGTCCTGCCATGAAGATCACGGGAAGACCACATCTGTTTTTTCAAAAAAGCTATTTAATGGGATAAAAATGAACTCTCTCAACCTTCAGAGAAAGAACGTATTTTATTGAAAACAAACAAAGCTTAAAGCATACTTTACATCAGGGGAATAGTGTACCACAAGGGGTGCTGAGATCTTCAGGCAGAACAAGTTACTGTGCATTGCTTTGTCTCTGATTTAAGGAGGACTTTCAAAGCTTGTAACAAAACTGACAGAGTCAGAGGGCTGATTTCCGCCATGAACACTACATAACGTCCCAATCTCTCAAAACTCAAAGTGTTCTTTAAACATCAGAAGTATCTGAAAACCATATTATAAGAAAAAATTAACTCTTGGGCGCGAATATATTTCATGAGAAATATGGTCAGTATGTTTTTAAGTAGAAAATTACACTCTGTATATTTGTACCTAATTGAAGCATGAATGGTGTCTTTTATATAGAATTGGACAAGAAATACTTAATTATTTAAAAACTCTTCAAGAAAACCTACAGATGGTTTACATTATTGTCTATGTGTTTATATCTACTACAGTCAAGAAAATTACTTAAAATTTAAACCACATAGCATATCCATAAAATTAGATTTTTATTGTTTCTAGAACCCCAGGTCTTTCACTCTAGATTCTGTTGTTTATTTACAACAGACATGAAATGAAGCATAAGGCATTTGTTTGAAAAAAAGTTTTCTGAAATTCTGAGACAAACAATAAGATATTCTCCCAGAAAAACTACACAACATTGAACTAACAGGTTTCTAATTCTCAAGTGTAAATTTTAAAATCAATTGACAATATGCATTTTGTCAAATAGTAAGCTAAAGAACTAAACATTTCTTTTTTGTAATGCTGGACACAACCTGTGAAAATTTTCTGCATTTAGATTCAACAATGCTCTTATCTGCAGCTCATCTCCAGAGAGACAATTACCATTTCCTTTGCCTTGATCTTGTTTGTTTAACTTGACACAGTGAAGAAAGGGCTGACATTGACCAAAATCCCCAGCATTAATTTATTTCATGTTCAGCATTCATCATTGCCATGGTCTAGCAAGACCTGGCATTCATTTGAAATACCTGCCCAAGAAGCACTGTAGAAAAAAACCTGGCTGCTTGGAAACCCAATACATTCTTCATATGATCAGAGTCATATGGACAGCTACAAACAATGTATGGGTTTGCTGATTTCTTTTTTTAGGGAACTTTTAAGATATTACGTGTAGTATCCACTTTAGGAATATGTGAGGCATCCAGTTTGAAGTTAAAATAACAAAATTTATTTCCTTCGTGGTTATAAAGCTTAAACAATTCAGACTTGAGTAAGGTGAAAATTGGAAATGGAAATGTTTAAATTACATGGGTCTTGACCCAGAGTACAGGTTTCCTTCTGTTTGCTTTTCTGGTTCTTCATCATGTAAGAATCTGATAATTATGGTCTCAAAGGAATACAACTATGCGTTTTTAAAACTTCTCCTTAAAAAAATTGCTTTCCACATTAGAAATAATGTGTCGCCTCTTTTGAAGGAGGTGGAGAATGGTCCAGCAGTGATATTCTATGTCATACTTCTTTAAAAAGCATGCTCTTATTCAACCCTTTAAGCCATAATTAACTTGGACTTAATCTAAATTGCCCAGTGTAAAACAGAATGTCTCTTATAAAAAGAAAAGGAACATGCACCAAGGAAAGCCTTATCCTGGAGGGCAGACACATCAACCTTTGTTGGCTTCAAGCTTTCTTCTTTTTCAGAATGAAGTGACAACTCTGTGGATTTAAAAATCCATTCCTGAACATCCATTTACCATAATGACAACCAAAAGATAAAAGCAAATACATTTATTTCCTTTCACCACAACTCACCTGCAAAAATTCATTGAGTTCAACTTGTCCATTTTTGTTTAAATCTACTTCATTCAGAATTTCATGGAGTGTATTTTCATCCATTTGGACATTGATACTCTAAATAAAATAAAAACAGAATCATGAATTCCAATTAGAAAGTATACATGTCCTATTACTAATGTTACTAACTTCCCCAAAATTAAAAAGATTACTTGTAGAAGGTACTAGATGAGAAAAAATACCTAATATCACATTTATTTCCTCTGTTATTAAAGACCGATATAAACCCCCCCCCCCAAAAAATGTTACCTCTAATACACGCTGAACATCAACAATGGTAATAAATCCTTTTTGGTCTGCATCAAACTTATGAAATCTCTTCTTGTACCTGGAACACAATATTGAACAATGGAGAAATATACTTACAGAGGCAAAGGAGAGAAAAGAGAAAGACAGAAGCTTATTAGCAGTACCTGTCGATGTCTGAAGGCAGCAGGCTGATTTCAGAGCGATCTGTTAATTGTTCTGATCGAGATTTATAGCCCATTTCATAATAAAGAAACTTCCTGGCTGTTTCCAGTTCTTGCTAAAACAAAGACACACACAAAGTTCAAAGATTTATGGAAATATTATTGATTTTTTCTCTTTTCTTAAAATTTTGGTCTGCAAAAAAGAAGCTGATCTTCACTTCTTTGACCAGCATGGCCTTTTAATTTCTTCCAGTTTCACTGAAATGTTACTTTCAGTAACATTCACCTCTTTTAGGTGTGCAGTCTTATGTACACTCCACTGCCATCAAGATACAGAACATTTCCTCCACCCTACAAAAGCTTCTTCATGCCTGTTTGCAATTGATCTCTTCCCCTGACCTCTAGCCCCAGGCAGCCACTGATTTGCTTTCTGTCACCAGAGTTTGCCTTTTCTGGAACTGCATATGAAAGATCTCATATACAATGTTGTCTTCTGCATTGACTGCTTTCGCACAGTATAATGATGCCAAGATTCATTCATGTTTTAATATTTTGTTTACTTTTACTGCGGAGTATTTGCCTATAGTACTGAGCAGCAAATTTTACAGGACCAAATTCTTGTAGCTTGGAGACCAAAATGCAACTAAAAGTGAAGATATGTGGACTGGCATCCAATACCAAAGCAAGTATCGTGAGATTAGCTAAACTGAAATTTTGACAGTGGGATTCTGATAGGTAGGTGAAAGTTACAGAGTCACTGGAAGAAAACAAGCCACGCTCAGGAGTTAATCTTCCTGTTTTAATGTTCCCAGTCTCAGTTATACTAACTATTGCTGCAAACATTGTCTTTCTTAGTTTTCATCATTTCAGTCTTCCATCTAAGAACTTCCAAAATGACTCCATTCTAGTGCACATTGTTCACAAATGCCTCTTTACACACACACACATTTCTGCTCTATGAACTTTTTAATCTCCTTGATGTGAGAGGCTGGCAATGGAACTTTGATCAATGGAATGTGAATGAATGCAACACTCATTTATGACACTTTTGAATGAAAGCTTTAAATGTAACATTATAGCTTTGCTTAACATTTCTTGCTTCTGTTCCATGAGAGAGGCAGGTCTCAGATGAGACCTGAAGTCAGCCTGGGGTACGGAGGACAGCCACAGCAGTGAACATGCAGCCTCCCTGCAGCACGAGTGAGAAAGAGATGCTTGCTACCATAAGCCACTGCGATTTTGAAGTTGCTTGTTACAGTATAAACTTGCCAAACAAACAACTTAATGCAAGTCTTAAGTTCCCCAACCTCATATCAAGGATCTTACTAACTCAATGGCTCCCTAAGTCTGAAGTGTGAAAATACCAGTGAAAAGTGAAACAAGGCAAAGGAGACAACAGTATACAAACTTACTTGCATGAATGTGTTACATGTGTTTGCTTATGTCAATGATGAGACCCTTTATTTTTGGGGGAAGACAATTTTTTCAGTTTTTTCCTTTCCTATTGTCCTTTCTCTTAGTAAACAAATATCAAGAGTTTTCTTCCTTAATGCTCTTACATAGAAAAATTAAAGGTTATCAATATGAAATAATATCCTGAATTTTAAAAAATTAAAAATGTATTTAAATCTATCTATGTACACACACACATAAACAGACACACAGAAGTATATGAGGGATCTTCAAAAAGTTCATGGAAAACATATTATGAGAACACTATGTGTCGCTCCCCCTCTTCGTGGAGGAACGACACAGGACCCTGCGCTGTTCTTTCGTCTGCTCAGCCCTCCCCGGGTTTGCTGCTGGTTCTTCCCGGGTTGGCTACTATCCCTTCCACCTCCGTGGAAGGGCAGTTCCCCCTGGCCACATTCCCCACTTCCGCAGGGGAGCGGCACACCGCCGGCCGGCTCTTCTCGGGGGCTGCACAGGTGTTCCTTCAGCTAGATGTTCCCCTTAGATGTTCCTGGTGCATGCCGTCTCTCTCCTCCTTTATAGTCCTCCTCCGCCAATCCCAACTCGGCTGCCCACACGCCGAGTACGCTGCTCTCCTCCAATCAGTAGCAAGTCCTACAGTTTATTGGTTGAACTGGAGGCAGCTGTGCGGAAGCTGTTTACTTCTCTCCCAGCGCCATATTGTGGGAGAGCAGATGCATAGAATAAGTCTTAATTCCAGTAACTCAGTCTAGTCCGGTTTGCTCCCCACAACTATGCATGGATTTCAAATCTTGTTTGCACTAAAATAAACATTGTTCAGATACATTTGTCCACAAACTTTTTGAAGTACTCTTGTATGTGTGTGTGTGTGTGTGTGTGTGTGTGTGGTTTAGGTGAAACTAGTCTGTGAATTCTCCATCTCTAATGGCATTCTTCGGGGACAGATTTCTCTCTTCACACAAGAAAGCCCACCAGTTGTCATAAATAAAATTATTTTTGGTATTCTACCAATTCTGCTCAGCCATTTTCTACAAAACTGGTCCAAAATTCATTTCCTTGAAAATATCACCCTGCTGCTTCCTGGAAAAACAACCTCTTCCTCAATCCATATCCCTTCATTAGCTATGTAGTTTACCTATCCTCCATCAAACAAGGAATCATGACATTTCAAAACTGGAACAGAATTTTTCCTAAAGGTCAGAATGTACCTCCCTAACCCCACATTTCCTTTATAACATGCCAAAATAGAAGCATGTGGCCTTGGTCTAAAGAACTCTAACAATGGATAGGTAACAATACCACTGAAAGTAGCCCATACAAAAATTGCTCTACTTGTAGGAAAGTTTTATGTTGAGAATAAATCTACCTCCTTGTAGTTCTTCCAATTTGTTTGTGATTAGTGAAACTTTGCTACAGAAGAACAAATCTAGTGTCTTTGTTTTGTATCATAGCACAAGTATGTAAATATAGTATGTGTTTCCCTTCCAAGGGCTTTCTTTTAGTCTAGGACTACTCTTCTGCATAATACATGATTTCAATTCCATATATATTGCTGGATAATTTCTTCCAGACCACAACTGGTCTGTCATATAATACAATTACCAGAACAAAACACAATACTCCAACAGAGATCTGGCAAGTACCTAGAAGGCAGTAACTATCAGCTTCATCAATCTAGATATATGATTTCTATTAATGCAGCTTAAGATTGCAATTGGATTTGGGAGCAGCAATGGTCCACTGTTAACTGATATACATTTACAGTTAACTAAAACCATATTTCTTTTTCACATGTGCCACTGTTAAACCTTGTCAAATCTATCTTGAATGGATGGAGTTGTTTTTCCACCTAATGCAAGGTTTGCCATTTATCTCTATTAAATTATACCTAATGAAATTTCACCCGTTGTTTCAATTTGTCATCAAACATTCACTCTCCCTTCAGTTTCTGGTTATTGGTACACCAAAGATGCATGCCATCAACATTGTAATCTAGCACTTGAACCAAAGTAGACTAGGTCAAGACCAAGGACAGAGCACTTAGGAGTTGTTATCACAGACTTTTAGGGCCAACACTGGTCAACTGATTATAAATCTACCAGTTTTACAAAGATATCACATTGGGCTTTACCAAATACTAAAAAGAATAAAAATATGCCCATAGTATTTTTCTAACAATCTGCTTGCTGTATCTAAAAAGAAAATACAATACTTGAAATGATTTTTCTCAAGTGAATCCTTAGCTAGCTTTCCAGTGTTCACAACATCTTGTTAAATGTTGATAAAACAAACAAAAAGTGTCATAATCTGGACAACTACCTAAGATCACTGCTGAGACCACTGGTTTCTAGGTTACAAATGGTATTTTTCTTTTGTCTCCTTTTTGGAACGAGGTACTACATTTGCACACATTGTGTCTTCTGGACCTTATTCGCCAGAAGACGAATTTAATAACCCCAACTGCACATTTCTATGAGTATCCTAGTTTTTCTGGCCTGGCACACTATACTCTTAGAGTAGCCTATTTGATTATCTACAGCCTCTTACCAATATTTATTTTTGCTCTTTTCATACATGAAAACCAAAGATAAAATGGTGGGAGGAAGGAAGATGAGAGGAAAACACACGGATAGTAGACTGTGAGCTGAATAGTTCTCCCTTCTCTCTGAAATTCAAGAATATGGTAGCTGTCACCCTAAGCACTGATCTAGGTAGGACTTACTTGCATTACTTTCCATTTTCAAAAGTCTTTTTTGGTATCTTCAGCATTTCCCCCGACCCTCAGCCAATTTTCCTTGCATTATTCATTTATACCTCGATTATTCTTGATACTGACCCTTCAATTTGCTGAGCACCTGTTTTCCAACCTGCTTTAAACTTGGCTTTCATCAGCTTGCTTTATCCATAGACATTCTATTTCTTCACTTGCTTACCCACTCACTCATTTCTTGCTCACTGTAATCAATTTAAAAAAAAATGTTTTTGCGAGAATCTCTCGATCTACTTAAGTAGTCTCTTCTTTGTCTGAACATTATAAAATCTGCCATACCAAACCATACAGAGCACAATTTCCCAAAATACATCTAAATAAATAATTATCTCCTTGCTGCTCAGCCCTCCCCCAAAAAGTGGGAGTACAGTCTGCCTCCACAAAAATTCCCTTTTGGAAATTGACAATACACAAATCATGTTCAAGGTTCCAAATTATTTGCCCTAAAAAACTCTTGTATAATTTATCTAACTCAGGATTTCCTGAACTCTTTTGCCCAAGGAATTGTTTTTTCACATATATTAATTTATATCCTGTGGAACATGATTTAGCAATGTTAACTTTCTCTCAATGTCCCTAATAACTCCTCTATGGATCCCCAACACCCCCATAAAATGTCTTCCTCTCTAAATAGGTCTTCTAAATGGATTGGATTTTGGTTTTCTATTACAATTCTTCTAAATAGTTCTCTGAAATTTAGAAAACATACAGATATTTCTGAGTCATATATGTGTTGTATCTACCTGATAAGATTTCAAGAACCCTGAATCTATGAGCTATTTATTATTCCCCTACAATATTTGGTACAATGTTCAGTATACAAGTCACTCATTAAGTATTGACTGGTAAAAACAAGCACAATTCATCTACAGGGAGTTATTTATCACCTTGTTCCTCTTTCACTTGTGCAGGTTAAATAATCCCAATGCTTTTAACCTTTTCGCAGAAGTCCAACTTTCTAACCTTTTAATTCTTTTTTCTCCTTCCTTTGTTCTCTCTAGACTGTCCACAGTTATTAATACTCCTATGTCTCTAATACTGAGTAATAACTTCAAGTCTTTTATTTTTGTTACTTTGTTAAGGAGAATAGGAAATTATTTCTGGGCACATAAATATGAACTAAAATTTGAACTGAAGTTAAATCTAGCTTCCCCAGGAGGCCTGAATACAATCAGTTTACAGAATTTTCTTCCTCCTTCCTACCTCCCACAGCCTGACTTCCTAGCATAAAATATGTTCTTGCATATTCAAATTATTTCAACCATAACTTTTGGAAGAACACATTATCGCCAGTGCTTCTATATGGTAAAAATGACTGGCAACAGCACAAGGATGTCATGTCTATGTTACTTCTATACAGAGCTTAAGCTGATCAATCTTAAACTCAAAACTGAAAGAGCTATAAACCTGCAATGGTAATGTAGAGGTAGCAGAGCAGGATGAGAAAAGCTTACCTTCTGGGGTCAGAATACCTGCTTTCAATCCCAGCTCCACAATTCATTCCTGTGTGAACTCTGATGGCAATTTACTCTGTGTGGGCCTTTTCTTCAAATAAACAATGGGGCTAATGGTTATCCCCGAAAGACCTGTCCTCAGGAGTAAGGACTCCACTATTCCCTACAGTAATTTGTAGTAAAATTACTAGCAGAGAAATGTCACCATATAGGGGTCAAGGTCTCACTTCTGCATACCACTCAGCATACCACATAAATATTCAGTAATGTTCATTCATTCCTCTCATGTGGGGACAGAGTAAGAAGAAATCTGCCTATGAACCAGGACATAAGCCCCTACCACATCCAAACCTGCTGGTATTCTGATCTTGGATATCCCAGCCTCCAGAACTGTCAATATCACTTGTGAGCAGTTTAAATCATCCACTCGAAGGTATTTCTGTTACAGCAGCCCAAACACACTAAAATACACAAGTACTTTCTTCCTCACGTTTTAGGTCACAGCTCTCTCTTGAGCTCCTCCAACCTCACCAGCCATTATTTTCTCTTTCTTCTGGATTCTTCCTTATCCCTCCAACTTGGAAACTTCAGTGTTCTATAGCTCAGTCTTTGGACCATTTTCACTAACTATATTGAGGCCTTACAGGATCCCCTCTAGACTAATGGATTAGAGACCAGCTGAAATTGATGTCTCTGGCCCCAGGCCTCCCCTCTGAATTTCAGACTGACATAGGCACTGATCTGGATTATGCTTTAACAGTGTCACTGAAGCTGTCAAAGCACAGACAGGGGGTTAGGTAGGGAAGCTATTCTAAGAATTTATGTAAGAGATGCTAATAACCTGATCAGGGTGAGAGCGGCTCAATGTGCTAAGAAAGCGTTGAGTTTGAAGTGTGACTTTACGATAGATATGATACTATTTGCTTGGGGATTTTGAAAGGGTGTCAGAGAACGCATGAAGTATGATAATAACATTTAGGCCTGAGCAACTGAAGCTTGGAAGAACTATTTATGACACGGAGAAGTTTGAGGGAGTGGTAGTTTGGGACGGTAGAAGAACCAAGTGAGGTAGTACAACAAAAGTTAAGAAAGCAGTTTGAGAAAGCGAGATGGATCAACTGTGTCAAATGCTGCCAGTTGTCCAAGTATGAGGTTATTTCAAAAAATACATGAAAATAAAGAATTATTTAAACCACTTGTATTCCATGAACTTTCTGGAGACTCCTCACAGCATAAGGACTGAGCATTAACAAACACGCTGAGCAATGTGGTGTTTACTGGAGGCTTAAAATAGCAATGTGATGGTCAAAGAGCCTGACTGATACTAGCTCAAGAAGGACTGGGGGTAAAGAACTGAACCCAAGGGGGACAGAAATTATTTTTTGACTAAATATATGCAAATGCTGTATAAGCCTCTGCATATCACAATAGTTTGGGTTAATTTAAAAATATGAAGATCTTCTGTGTATTACAATAAGCTCAGGTTTATAAATATATGGATATCTGAGCATCACTAACTTTCTTTGTAAAATGTAACTGTAGGGCAGTGCCATGGCTCAATAGGCTAACCCTCCACCTGCGGTGCCAACACACCAGTTTCTAGTCCCGGTCGGGGCGCCGGATTCTGTCCCGGTTGCCCCTCTTCCAGGCCAGCTCTCTGCTGTGGCCTGGGAGTGCAGTGGAGGATTGCCCAAGTGCTTGGGCCCTGCACCCGCATGGGATACCAGGAGAAGCACCTGGCTCCTGGCTTCGGATCAGCGTGGTGCGCCAGCCACAGTGGCCATTGTGGGGTGAACCACCAGAAAAAGGAAGACCTTTCTCTCTGTCTCTCTCTCACTGTCCACTCTGCCTGTCAAAAAAAAAAAAAAAGTAACTGTAAAATATTAAGTGAAATTGTAAAATAATTGTAAAATATTAAGTGAAACAAATGATAAGGACTTGCTGGTAAGGCAGTAAGACCACTACTTCTTACCAAAGGCTGGTTAGTAGGACTGTGAATTGCATTAAACCTTCTCTGAGAATACTGTCAAAGAAAATCAGAAAATGTCTACCTCACAGTTAGTGTTATCTTTCTTTCTCCTTAATAAAAACCACAAATTTAAGAGCATTTATTATGAGATATTTTCCAGGAACAACTAAATTTGGGTACAAGATTATCTTCCCATTTTCCTAAAGTCTAGCAATATTAAACATATGCATCCAGAACTTGGCAAGATTCTAAAAGGTTACCATCAAAACTTACACTAGCCCCTTTTAACAGATCAAACCATTACCTAGTTGTAATGGGAACTGTGGTTTTAAGAGTTCTCTTTGTAGGACCTAAATGAAAGATCTCTGCGAGTGAGATCCCAGTAGAAAGAACGGGCCATCAAAAAAGGAAGTACCTTTCTCTGAAGGGAGGAGAGAACTTCCACTTTGACTATGATCTTGTCTAAATATGATTAGAGTTGGTGAACTCAAAAGGCTTCCATAGCCTTGGCAACTCATGACTAGAGCCTAGGGAGATTACTGACGTCATAAACAAGAGTGTCAAACTGTTAAGTCAACAACAGGAGTCACTGTGCACTTACTCCCCATGTAGGATCTCTGTCCTTAATGTGTTGTTCAATGTGAATTAATGCTATAACTAGTACTGAAACAGTATTTTATACTTTATGTTCTGTGTGGGTGCAAACTGATGAAATCTTTACTTAATATATACTAAATTGATCTTCTGTATATAAAAGATAATTGAAAATGAATCTTGATGTGAATGGAATGGGAGAGGGAGTGGGAGATGGGAGGGTTGTGGGTGGGAGTGAAGTTATGGGGTGGGGGAAGGCATTGTAATCCATAAACTGAACTTTGGAAATGTATGTTTACTAAATAAAAGTTAAAAAAAAAAAGAAAAAAAAAACTAAAAAAAAAGAGTTCTCTTTGTAATACCTCTTTCTTACGATCATCCCAATTCAATTCTCTGCCCATCAGTTCAACAATCCTCGGTAGGGCTTCTTCTGCTGCCTGAACGTTGAGAAAGGCCAGACGAGTGCGGCGTGAAATCATATCCACTGCGGTGCAGGCGTACTCCTTAACACCGTATTTTACCTGAGTTTGAATTCCAGAAACATTGTCAGTTTAGACCTTCCTCTTAAGAGAAAATAAAGTTTCACTTTAAAAAACAAATTTTCTTTACACTCTCTGGTTCTCCAGCAGGTGTAAGACAAAGAGTTGCACAACACAAGTTCTCCATCTGCCCGCCAAAGGAGGTTTGGGAACTGGGATAAACTGGACAAGAGTTAATGCATTCTTCCTTTTCAGAACCTGACATAAACATGCAAATTGCATCACTTCTCATTAAGCATCCACAGTAATCACTTAATCTCTCTTTGTTTACACACAATGTGGATTTCATTCTACACAGCTAAACAGGCAAAGGACAAGTATACAAAAGTATGATAGCATCTCTTTAACTTGTATAATTTTCAGTCTTAGAGTAATTAGATGACAGAAACCCTGAATTCGGTCAAGAAGAAAATGTTTACTGGACATCAATGTTTTAAGGTGAAGTGAATTACAAAGAAATACACTTCATGGACTAGGTTCACACAATTGGATAGCTTCATGAGAAACAAGACTTAAATCCTTGAAGAACTATCTCATAAAGATAGATCATGAAGGGGGGCAGTGTATGATACAGCACTTAAGTTGCCACTTGGGAACCTGCATCCCATTTTGGAGTGCCTGGTTCAAGACCTGGTTACTCCACTTCTAAACCAGCTTCCTGCTAATTGCACACTCTAGGAAGCAGCAGGTGTGATGGCAAAAGTACTTGGATGCTTGACAGCCATGTGGGAGACTCAGACTGAACTCTGGCCTATTGACTTTGGTCTGGCCCAGTCTGGCTGTTGGGAATGTCTGGGGAGTGAACCAGCACATAGACAATTTTCTGTGTCTGTCTCTCTGCCTTCTAAACAAAATGAAAAAAATAAATAAATATTTTTAAAATATGTATACAAAGGAAAAGTATGTCATAAAACAGGACATGAATGGTGCAAACCAAAAAACCTACCAACAGAAAAGGGACAAACAAGTGTAAATTAATGACTTGTGGTAACTTCAAGAAGGAAAAAGAAAACCACATTTTATTTTATTATTACTCATGTCAACACCACTTCAGAATTAAAATAAAAATTTCATAAATGAAGAGATTTTCACTGGACAGACATTTGACTCCAGGTTTGAACTGACATATGTACACTGAAACTTGGCTGCATATAATTTGTAGAGAAGACGAATAATGACCAGAGGATTGGTATCCCATAGCAGACCAGAAATTCCCACGTGGTCATTCACTTACCTCTGCCTCAATATATGGAAATTCTGACACAAGACGTACTCCAACGACAGGCCATCTCTTTCCAGTCACACTTGCCATTTTGGCCACCTCAAAAGCCTTGTCACCATAGGTGGCGGCAAGATGCTGTGCCACCTACAAAAACAAAACTGTATTCGTCAGATGGTTTGAATATCAATACCTTTTAGGTACAAAACAACAAAGGGGCATGGTTATCTTGTCAGCTTTCTTAGAGCCTGTAAATAATAGTTGTTGAGAGCAGTAGGTCTTGATTCTGTGGGAGGAAACCACTCAAGCTTTGAACGCTTCGGCCAGCACTAACTCTGCCACACATCCAGCAGCGCATCAGTGACGGAGGAAGCGGCAGCCCCATTTGGTCCTGAGGTGATTTCTGACGAGCATCCTTCCTTATGCTTGAGAAGGAAAGAAGATGGGGTGGCTCCAAATACCAGAAACAAACCAAACAACCTCCAGGCTTCAAAGAGGAATTTATATTGCTTCTTAGGCACCACAAGCAAATTATTTTCACCTTTTTTTTTTTCCTTACTACACGGACAGAAATGCACTCAGCAAAAGGAAACTCAATCATCGAGGCCTCTTCATGGTTGCCGATTCTGTTCCTGGCAATAGTGAGTGATTAGACATGGAGGAGAATGAGGTGGCAGCACACACCCACCTCACTTTCAAGTCCATAATCCTGGACAAGCCGAATGTAGAGGGTAGGGCTCCAGTCTTTGCCCCCTTGAAGGAAAAGCCCAACTGTTCTACTTGGTCCTGCTTTCAAATTGTGAGTCTTGATGGCAGCATTTACAGTATCTTCCGCCATAGATCGGTAAGTTGTCCATTTTCCGCCTATGAAGTTGATGAACAATTCATTAGGTTACCAATCCTTATTTTTCTTTTTTAAAGATGTATTTTATCTAGTTGAAAGGCAGGGAGACAGAGAGAGGAAGAGACAAAGAAAGAAAGAGATCGTCCATCTGCTGGTTCATTCCCCAAATGGCCACAATGGACAGGACTGATCCAGACTGAAGCCAGGAACCAGAAACCCACACTGGATCTCCCAAGCACTTGGGCCATCTTTGCTGCCTCCTCAGGTCCATTGGCAGGAAGCTGGATCAGAAGCAGAGCAGCTGTGATTCAAACTGGTGCTGCTATATGGGATGCTGGCATCACAGGCGGCATTGCAACCTGCTGTACCACAACACGTGTCCCCCTTATTCTTCTTACAATTAACCAGCTATCAATTACTAATAACAAAATTTACCTATTGTTTATAATAAACATGGCAAAACAATGCATAAGATTTAATGTAATTAAATAAAGTCTTTACTCAATCGAGCTAAAAGATACTGCTAAGTCAAGTTCATGAGGGAGGCATTTGGTTTAGCAATTCAGATGCTGCCATTGCATATCAGAACGCATGGGTTCAGGTCCCAGCTGTGCTTCCAATTCCAGCTCCTTGATGATGCACAGCCTGTGAAGCAGTAGATGATGGCTCAAGTAGCGTAGGGTCCTTGACATCCTCGTGGGAGATCTGGATTGAGATCATGGTTCCCAGGTTCACCAGCATATCATAGTGGGCATTTGAGGAGCGAACCAGAGGATGCAAGCTCTCTTTCTATCTCTGTCTTTCTCTGTGTCTCTCTGCCTCACAATAAATACATACTTAAAAAATAATTTAGTCAAGCTTGTGTGCAACACACTTGCAAATAACAAGGTAAAACCCCATACCTGCTATAGTGATAAGGCCACTCTCACTGATATCAACAACATGATTTCTAGAGATGGACTGAGTATCTGCAGAGTTGGGATCTGTAACGAGGGGACGGATACCACTCCATGCTGCTAGGACATCTCCTCTTCTCACTGGTAAGGATCAATAAATAACAAGGGTTAACAGGTTTATTCAAAAACATTATTATTTTTTTTTTGACAGGCAGAGTGGACAGTGAGAGAGAGAGACAGAGAGAAAGGTCTTCCTTTGCCGTTGGTTCACCCTCCAATGGCCACTGCGGCCGGTGCGCTGCGGCTGGCGTGCTGCGGCTGGCGCACTGCACCGATCCAAAGGCAGGAGCCAGGTGCTTCTCCTGGTCTCCCATGGGGTGCAGGGCCAAGCACTTGGGCCATCCTCCACTGCACTCCCGGGCCACAGCAGAGAGCTGGCCTGGAAGAGGGGCAACTGGGACAGAATCCGGCGCCCCGACCAGGACTAGAACCCGGTGTGCCGGCGCCGCAAGGCAGAGGATTAGCCTATTGAGCCGCGGCGCTAGCCTCAAAAACATTATTTTTAAACCGTAAAACAGTATATAAGCAAGAAAGAGTTCAGAAAAAGAATACACATGACTGTGCATTTTAAAAGGGAAAAAACCCTAAATATAGGACTCTGAGTATATAGGTACAAGAAAAACTCATAAAGAACTATTTTGTTACAAGTATCATTTCCATGAAGAAAACTCAAGGTTTTGAAAATCACTGACACCGATACAAGAGGAAGCAAGAGAAATAAATGTTAGCAACCTTCCAGGTAGAGAAATTAAGAAAATAAAACAAGAAAAACTAGAATTGAACAGTTAAGAGATTTACAAATTTCTTTCTAGAACGTCTCTTGCTATCCCTTTTCAGGGAAGACAAAGACATGGATTAAATTAAATAAACAAGCCACTAACAGGATTTTTTCCTCCCATATCAATACCACACTTGTATCAAGTATTTACAGCAGATCCAGCACAGGGCAAAGCACCTGATACACATATCTCATCTCATTTACCCTCATGAAGTTCCACAGAATTTATCTTTATTATTCTCACCATATAGATGAGAAAACAGATTGAAAAAGTTTAAACAAACCTGGACAACCAACTTCTCTGAGGAAAACATCTTTTATTTGTAAAGCATCTGGGCTTGGTTTTTTCAGATTTGGAGGTCCATATTCTTACCACTAAATTTTAATTTTTTTATTTTTATTTTTTGACAGGCAGAGTGGACAGTGAGAGAGAGAGAGACAGAGAGAAAGGTCTTCCTTTGCCATTGGTTCACCCTCCAATGGCCGCCGCAGCCGGCGCGCTGCGGCCGGCGCACCGGGCTGATCCGATGGCAGGAGCCAGGAGCCAGGTGCTTCTCCTGGTCTCCCATGGGGTGCAGGGCCCAAGCACTTGGGCCATCCTCCACTGCACTCTCTGGCCACAGCAGAGAGCTGGCCTGGAAGAGGGGCAACTGGGACAGAATCCGGCGCCCCGACCGGGACTAGAACCCGGTGTGCCGGCGCCGCAAGGCGGAGGATTAGTCTAGTGAGCCGCGGCGCCAGCCCTTACTACTAAATTTATTGTCTCTCAACAGTTGACATTTTCCATACTTTATTGGTTTATTTTTTAATCCCATTATCATTACAACTGACACAGAAATAAGTGTGTCAGTTGTAAATAAGTGTCCTACAGTGTATGGAAGTTGTTTCAATATTCAAGATGCCATGGAATTATCCTTACTGTCTACCACAATACAATTACACATCTGTGCCAAGGATTGAGGGGGTTTATATTACAATTGGATGGCTGCTGAACAGAGCTTAACCTTGATCTAAAAACAGCTGAGGAGAGATCAGCTGTGGTTTTGGTCCACCATCAGAGGTGAGGACAAGACAAAGGCACGGTTTTAGGAAACTACTCTTCCTCATCTAGAACAGCTTCAGGGGTGGCTTAGCTCTTTTTCTTCCAAGATCCTGACTATGTGCACCAATACAACAGGGGCCTAATGATGTAGAAGTAAATGTAGAAAATAAATGCCTACCTTGTTCTGCTACACTTACTGTGGAAGATCAGTTAAATCAACCATGTATAATAGAGATGTAAGTGTAACTTTGTCTCCACTGGAACTGGGGTCATGTGTAACCTCCTTCTTCACCACACTTTGTCATTACCACAAAAATCTGACAGATGAGAAAACTGGATTTTCCTATGTAAAGGATGAAACTGGACTTTTTTTTTTAATATACCATACCAAAATTTACCTCAAAATGGTTCAAAGACCAAAATATATGAGCTAAGGCCACAAAAGTCTTGAAAGAAAAATTTGGGAAACTTCCTGACAGTGTAGTAAGCAATGATGTCTTGGATATGACATCAAGAGTGAAAAAAAAAAAAAAAAAAACAGGTAAGACAGATTTCACCAAAATTAAAAGCTTCTGTGCATCAAATGATACTTTTAGCAGACCAAAAAGACACAATGGTGTGGCAGAAATTATTTATAAATAAAATATAAGAATATGAAAGAGGGGCCAGCGCCACAGTGAGATGGGTGAAGCCACCTCCTGCAGTGCCAGTATCCCATATGAGCACCAGTTCAAGTCCCGGCAGCTCCACATTTTTTTTTTGTCAGGCAGAGTGGACAGTGAGAGAGAGAGAGAGAGAGAGAGAGAGAAAGGTCTTCCTTTGCCGTTGGTTCACCCTCCAATGGCCGCCGCAGCCGGCGTGCTGCAGCCAGCGCACCGCGCTGATCCGATGGCAGGAGCCAGGTGCTTCTCCTGGTCTCCCATGGGGTGCAGGGCCCAAGCACTTGGGCCATCCTCCACTGCACTCCCGGGCCACAGCAGAGAGCTGGCCTGGAAGAGGAGCAACCGGGACAGAATCCGGCACCCCAACCGGGACTAGAACCCAGTGTGCCGGCGCCACAAGGTGGAGGATTAGCCTAGTGAGCCGCGGCGCCGGCCCAGCTCCACTTTCAATCCGGTTCTCTGCTATGGCCTTGGAGAGCAGCAGAAAATGGCCCAAGTCCTTGGTCCCCTGCACCCACATGGGAGACCCAAAAGAAGCTCCTGGCTTCAGATCCCTCAGCTCTGGCCACTGCGGCCATTTGGGGAGTGAACCAACAGATAAAAGACCTCTCTCTCTGCCTCTGTAACTCTGTCATTCAAATACATAAATAAATCTTTAAAAAAAAAAAAGAATATAAAAGAAACTTCCAAAACTCGACAGCAACATCAAATAAAACCCAAATTAAGAAAAAGACATGGACTTTCAACAGGTATTCTCCATTGAAGATATGCAAATAGACAATAAGCACATCAAAACATACTAAATATCACTAATCATCAGGAAAATGCAACTGAAAACCACAATGAGATATCTCTGCACATCTATTAGGATGGCTATTATCAAACAAAAACAGAAAATGTAAGTATTAATGGGATATGGAAACACTGTAACCCTTGTCTTTTGCTTCTAACAAGGTAAAATGGTTTAGTTTCTAAGAAAAATACATTCCAGTTCCTAAAACAATTAAATATTTAGAATTATTATATGATCTTACAATGTACTTCTGGATATGTAAGCAAAAGAACTGACAGCAGAGAAAATTCTGTGCATGAATGTTCATAGTTTTACTCCTAACAGTCAAAAAAAAAAAAACAAAAAACAAATGTCCATCAATAGGTGAAGAGATAAACAAAATGAGTAGTATATACATCCAATAGTTACTAGCTTTAAAAAGAAAATTCTGACCTATGCAACAACATGGATACACTTTGACAAAATTATGTTAAGTGAATAAGCCAGATAAAACGACAAATATTGTATGACTCCCTTACATGAGGTACTGATAGTGCTTGAACTCACGGAGGCAGAGAGTAGAACGGTAGCAGCTGCCAAAGAATAGGAAGAAGGAGAATGGGAAGTTCATGTTCGGAATTTCAGTGGAAGAGGATGAAAAAGTTCTGGAGGTGGATGGCTGTGACAGTTTCACAACAATGTGAATGTACTTACTGCCCAGTACTGGACACTAAAAACAGCTAAAATGATAAATTTTGTGTTATGTGTATTTAGCTACAATGTTTTTTAAAAAAAATGAAGACAAAGGTCTAAGTTTATAAGATTCAAGTCTCAAATTATTAGAAGACAAAGGAATATTTTACATATATTACAGAAGTATCAAGACCTGTTTGTGCCTATGCCATGCCCACAGCTTACTTAAAATTAATAAATGCCTTGCAGGGAGTACAGTTTCGCAAGCATAAAGCAGGCTGGATGTCAGCTCCTTTAAACCCTTGATACATATATCTATATATGGCACCACATATAAAAATATTTACATATATATCTAGCAAAACTCTTTGTGGAAGGAGTCACAAAGAGACTCCTTGAGATGACTAGAGTACAAAAAAAAAAAAAAAAAAAGAAGAAGAATTGCCTTACTAAGTATAGGGGAAAACCTCTAAAACAAGTTAATTGGATGACAGATAATGCCTCAATCTTGATCTCAAATGAAAAACAGAGTTCTGGTAAAGATAAATCCAAGATGGGCCCTGTGGGGAACAACTCGGACTAGACTAAATTACTGGAATTAAGACTTATTCTATGCATCTGCTCTCCCACAATATGGCGCTGAGAAGGGAGAAACAGCTTCTACACAGCTGCCTCCAGTTCAACCAATAAATTGTAGGACCTACTCCTGATTGGAGGAGAGCAGCGTACTCGGCGTGTGGGTAGCAGAGTTGGGATTGGTGGAAGAGGACTATAAAGGAGGAGAGAGACAATATGCACCAGGAACATCTAAGGGGAACATCTATCTGAAGGAACACCTGTGCAGCCCCCGAGAGAGCCGGCCGGCGGTGTGCCATTCTCCTGCGGAAGTGGGGAAAGTGGCTAGGAGGTGGAAGGGACGGTAGCCAACCCGGGAAGAACCAGCAGCAAACCCGGGGAGGGCCGAGCAGACAAAAGAACAGCGCAGGGTCCTGTGTCGTTCCTCCACGAAGAAGGGGAGCGACAGGCCCAGTGCTGTGGCGTAGCTGGTAAAGCTGCTTCTTGCAATGCTGGCAAGTCATATGGGTGCTGGATGGAGACCACGCTGCTCCACTTCCAGTCCAGCTCCCTGCAGAT